AACACTTTTGATTTTTTGCGTAAACGGCATACGTTAAAATACACAGAATCAATTGAAATTAGGAGTAAACTGGTTCGTGTAGATCAAATAAAGCAGACAAAAAAAATCAATTGAATAGTGGTTCTGAAAAAACTACTGCAAATCTGCATTGTTTACCTCGAAAATGCAATAGGTACCACTTCGATTACTCACTACTGTTAACTGGGCCTGCCAAATCACATAGATACTCTTTAACCCCCAACCTTTCATTCCCTGTAGCGGCGGAAAAAAAAGTTTAACAATTCGCTGCATTACACTGCAAACAGCATTACAACCTAAGACATAGTTTGTAAATCAAAGCACAGTAAACGATAAGAAGAGGACTGAAGTGAGAAAACAGAAGAGTTATGGCTAAAAAACATAGCCTAGAATAGAAACTGTTGCTTTTGAGAAAGTCTGTTTAGCAAAGGAAATGAAGAATATGTGAAAATGGATGGAAAATGAAAAAAGCATACAGCACAGTATGCAGTTGTGCCATAAGTTTGAATCCATAATGCAGCAGCTTATATAGTAAAATTGCTGATTAGCTTCATGTGAAAAGTAACATTTAGAAAATGTCCCATTAACATTTTTCGAAGTTTTTCTAAGATGTGTTTCAATTACATAGACGTATCACACTTATTACTGAATGGCAAGGATACCGTAGAAGAATGCGAGGAACACAAAATCTACCATTACTCTACAGTAGGAACTAGTACCACTACCCAAATGATGCGATGTCCTCATTTTGCTTATAAAAGGATAAACTAATGCGATTTATAAAAAAAATATTCTCTCACCACTATTGCCAATCTCTTTCCACAAATTTGGAGGATACATGAATTCAGCGTTTTGGATTTGATCCACAATATCCTCGTCTTCATTAAAAGGAAAGGTGCCGGAGAGGCTAAAATCACACATTATCATTTGTTCGTGTCCTTTCTGGCTCAATGCCATTGAGTAAATCTCGTACTCTTTCACTTACCTAACATATACGATTACACCAACGCTCCACATGTCTAGCGAACGATTGAAACCTTTATTACAGAGCACTTCGGGAGCAAGATAGGCCGGGGTTCCCACCACAGAACGGCGGAATGATTTCTCCCCAATAATTCTTGCAAAACCGAAATCGCAGAGTTTTACCTAAAGTTTCACTATCTCAATCAGTACTACTAAATTCTGCAATTCTAGGTCATTGTACCTGTGGGAAGTCCGAATTTGAAGTTAGTAAAATATTTTCAGGTTTCAAATCACAGTGCACGATA